GGGGGATGCTCAACACCGGGGGCCACCCCCCGGCACAGGGCTGATCCCTCGGGAATGGGATGCGCCGCTTCCTTGCCCCCCCTCTTTTCCCTTGGCAGCCCCTCGGGGGGCAGATACGTCGGGGTGGGCAAGGTGTGTGTGTGGGGGGGTGACTTCAGTCGGGGTTTTTTTCCCGGGATGCCCCCCCCCCCCCCCATCCAGGCGGGGGCCGGGCCCGGGGGGGGGGGGGCCGGGGGCCGTGGGGTGACCGGTAATAACCTTTGGGGGAAACTCAGCCTACTTCTTTTTTTTTTTTTTTTTTTAATTAATTATTTATTTTTTTTTTATTCCCTTTCTCTTTTGTGCACCGTCAGCCGGTTGCGGCTCTGCCCTGGCGAGCTGCCCAGCCGATGGCTGCGGGGGAGGGAAAAGCTTTTTGGGGGTGGGGGGGGAGTTTGTGGCAAGTCCCCACTCGCCCCCGGCAACCAAAGCGGGGGGATCGCCAAGCATCGCCCCCCCCCCCCCAACACCCCCCCCCCCCCCCCCTGGCCAGAGCTGCTTCTGAGCCTGAGCAGATTGGGGTTATGGGGTTTGGCCCCCCATTATGTGACCCAGCATGGTGGGGAGGGGGGATTGTGAGCACCCAGCCATCTTGGGGTACGTGCCACCATGCTGTGGGCTATGGTGGCCACGTGGCATAGTGCTGGCCCACCTTGGCCACCAGGAGAGGGTGGCTGCTGGCTCTCCCCAGATGAGAGGTCCCTCTGGGGCAGGGTTGAGGCTACTTAGCCGGGCATTAGGCAAATGCCACCCACTCTACCCATCTGGCGTGCAGGGCCATCTCCTCCACGTGCTCTCCTGGGACTTTGTCCCCCTCAGCCTCCCCCCTGTTCCCCTGGAGGTCCCCATAGCCTTCCTGGGCTTCTGGCCCCTCTTTGGAGGGTCAGTAGCTGGTTTCTCGGTGCAGAGCTGGCTCCCAGTCCTGCTGCTGGGTGGTGGGACCACTGCCCTCCCTGGGGGCACCATCCCTGGTTCCTCTTGAGGGTCCTGGGCTGGGTGCACTGGGCTCCTCGAAGCCGTGGTCACTGCATCCCTGCTCTGGGGAGGGGGATTGCAGCTGGAACCTGGTCCCCACCCATCCAAAGACCACACTGGCATCTCCTGCGTGTTGTCTCCTAGAGCCAGAAGATGCAGCAAACCCTCCACCTGGATGCTGACAGCCAGCAGCTTCGGCTCCAGCCCTCCCTCGGCTGGATCTGAACAAGCAGGCACTTGTTTTCCTGTCCTCTCCAACCCAGCAGAGCCTGCTGGCGTGTTAACCCTTCCCTGCCCTCCCCTTCCCCGCAGGGTGGGGAGATCCCCAGCGAAGAGAAGTTGGGGTGCACTGGAATTGCCACCCAAGTTCACCGATTACACAGGAAATGGGGGGATAATGAACCCAGAAACGGGAATCACGCGTGAAACACGAGGCAACGAGCTCCAAATGCTGAGCTGGCGCCGCTGAAGGGCTCGATAGCACTTGGAGAACATATTTTGGGCAGGGGATTTAATAACAGCCTTTAACGAAGAGGGAGAGGCCCGAGAGATCTGAGTTGCACTCTCATAAAATTCAGGCAGAGGGATCATTAACTTTATTTTTAGGCTCGGCTGAATAATCAGGAGGTTGGGAGACGTGGCCTTCTCCGTTCCACTCGTTTTAGGAGCGGCCGCGCTGGCAGAGCTGGGATCCAAAACGCACCGGATTATCGGCAGCAAACACCACCTCTGTCACCTCCAGGGACCCTACTTGTGCCACCAGAGCGTTCTCACAGCTCAAGGGCAGCCACACATCCCATTGCCATGCACCTCCAAGGTGGAAGAAGCCCAGACCTTCCTCCCCCATCACCCTCCTCTCCTTCAATGCCCCGGTTCGCAGCGCCCAGGCTCTGGTTTCCCACCCGGAGGGCTTTTCGCACAGCTGAAGACCCAAGGATGAAAGGAGATGGCTGTTCAAGGAGATGGAACTAGATGATCTTTAAGGTTGCTTCCACCACAGCTGAAGACCCAAGGATGGAAGGAGATGGCTGTTCAAGGAGGTGGAACTAGATGATTTTTAAGGTCGCTTCCAACCCAAACCATTCTATGATTCTATGGCTGTGGCAGGGAAGGCCAAGTTGCTGCATCAACAAGGCCACCCCCATGGAGCAGGCCGGTGCCACGCAGAGATGGGCCTGTGCCACTGCAGCGTTTCCACAGCTCAAGGGCAGCCACACACCTCATTGCCCGGGCTGGCTGTGCATCTCCAAGGTGGAAGAAGCCCATCACCCTCCTCTCCCTCGATGCCCAGCGGGCTGGTTGTGCACCTCCAAGGTGGAAGAACCCCAGACCTTCCTCCCCCATCACCCTCCTCTCCTTCAATGCCCAGGCTCTGGCTTTCCCACCCAGAGGGCTTTTCCCACAGCTGGAAACCCAAGCGTGGGCCAATTTTGCCGAGGAATTCAGGCTGCTGGCTGCAAGGGGATGGCTGTGCCAAGGAAAGGGGGCTGGTTGGGCCACCCCCAGGGTGGCCAAGTTGCTGCGAACAAGGACCATCCCCACGGAGCAAGCTGGTGCCACGCAGAGATGGGTTTTTCACCGCTCAGAGGAGAGGGGAAGCCAACCACGTGAACATCAAATTAAAGCCAGATTTGGCACGCAGCGGAGGGGGGGATTTCCCCCCTTTTTTTTTTCTTTTTTTTCCACTTCCCGAGAGCTGAGACCTCATCCCTCTCTCTCGGCTCTGGCTTTCCCACCCAGAGGGCTTTTCCCACAGCTGGAAACCCAAGCGTGGGCCAATTTTGCCGAGGAATTCAGGCTGCTGGCTGCAAGGGGATGGCTGTGCCAAGGAAAGGGGGCTGGTTGGGCCACCCCCAGGGTGGCCAAGTTGCTGCGAACAAGGACCATCCCCACGGAGCAAGCTGGTGCCACGCAGAGATGGGTTTTTCACCGCTCAGAGGAGAGGGGAAGCCAACCACGTGAACATCAAATTAAAGCCAGATTTGGCACGCAGCGGAGGGGGGGATTTCCCCCCTTTTTTTTTTCTTTTTTTTCCACTTCCCGAGAGCTGAGACCTCATCCCTCTCTCAGGAGGAGAAAAAAATAAAATTCCCCCCTCTCGGCTGGGGGGGAAGGAACCCGCCTGACGCGGCGGCGGTGGCCGGGGAGACGGGGCTGCCGGTATTACGTGTTATGCTGCATGTCATATCCCGCAGCCACAGGGCTCTGGCGAGAGGCCCCGGCTGGAATTAACCTGCAGTAACCCCACGGAGCAAGGGCAGCCTTGCCGGGGTGTGCCGCCCCGGCTGCCATGGAGTATGAAAGCCATTATAATCCGCTCATTCATGCCGCTTAAAGAGCCAGTTTTTCTTTTTTTCTTAATTTTTTTTTTTTTCTTATTTTTTTCCTCCCTTTCCTCGGTTCTGGAAGGGAAAGAGGGTTTGGGAAGGGGAGCACATAGCGTTCTCCATCCCCACGGAGCGTGGCGTGCCGTACCGTACCCAGCCCGTTGTGTATCTTCAATCCGACAAGGTTTTTAAAGTAACATTTTTATTATGAACAAATAAAATTTCAGATCAGCATAACCAGATGTCTGTTTCCATATTAGTAGAAATTATTTCAAAAAAGGTTGTTTTGTTGGTTGTTGTTGGTTTTTTTTTTTTCCAGTACACAAAACAGAGATACTACTATGCAGAAATCCCTAAGCTGTGAAAAATTCGTATCCTACTCACATTTCAACAGTGACAGAGCTCAGACAATGTGCAGATTCAACTTTTCCAACCCTTCCCCTCTCCAACAACCCAACGCTCGGAACGTCTGCCCTTCAGCCATACCAGCGGGGCTGGGAAAACGGTCTTTGGAAAACAAAACCAGTCCATGCTTCTGCCAGCAGCGGTGTGTGTCTGCCTCCCCCTCCTCAGCCAGCCTCAGCACACACCCCCCCCCGTCACAGATGGGGAAACTGAGGCACGGAGAGTTGCGTTTTGTTGGTTTGTTTTTTGTTTTTTTTTTTTTTTTAAAAGTGACTTTTTGTCCCAAATCACGCAGCGAGCGAGTAGCGAAGCTGGGAACGGGTCCCAGGAGAACAAGGTCCCACTGCTGCCTCCTCTGCTTCCACCCTCCCACAGACTCCTTTAAGCTAGACATACAGACAACGCGTCCAGGATACAAACATGCCACCAAAAATATATATATATATATATTTATAGGTAGGTGTGTGTATATATATATATATTTAATCTCAAACAAAGTTCTACTTAAAGTGTTGTATCGGTTTCTTAGTCTAACAAAAATTCTAACTCAAATACATTCAAAAATCACCTGCACCCACAGTTCAATGTAGGCAATTAAATAATTAAGAAACCCCTCGAATGTTCGTAAGTCAGCAAAAAGGAAAAAAAAAAAAAAGAAGAAAAAAAAGTACGGCAAATAGCTGTCGATACTCCTATGTATATTAAAGAAAGATTTAAGGCACCCAGAGATATTTGCCAATCTACCTTTAAAGTGACTGGGCAAACACCAGGACTGTTTGGTTACTGCTCCTCAGCTTCCACCGCAATTCCAGATTCTGGACCCAAAAATCAGCACTTGAAATTTGAAAGGAACCCTTGCTGTCAAACCCTGCTTTTCTCCTCTGAGAGGGTGTGAAATACTGCAGTGTGTCACGGCACCCTTCCCTACCCTCGGGTATGTCACACCACACGTCTTAAGGGCACCAGGAGCAAGGAAATCATTCTCCTCGCCTTGTCCCCCTTTGTCTCCTGTCCTGGAGCAATACGGATCTCCTGCCACCAGCAAATGAAAGGTTCCCCGCTCCGTTCCTCCCTGTGGTACCTCTTGGATGGAGACCCCGTGGCTCCCGATGGCTCAAAACCCCAAGGGGTCCCCATTGCTGAGCAAGAACAAGGCCACAGTGGTGGCAGGAAGGGGGAAAGGAGAGGAGGAGGACTTCTTTTTTGTCTGAGTAACGAGCATGCTCTTGGTGAGGAGAACATCTCAGATCTCCTGGCGAGTCCCACAGTGGCAGGAGAAAGCAAAGCTCCCGTGAAAGCTTGCCGGGGGCTGCTGCGTGGCAGAGCCCAGGCGAGGAAGTTGGGGTCCACTCCATCTCTGCCCTCCCCGGCCCCTGCCCCACGATGGGGTGGGGGGCACGCTGCAAACCCCCCCCCCCCCCCCCCTCACCAACTCCAACAACATCACCTCGCTCTGGCCAACCTCTTGTGCTTTCTTCCAGCTCCCGATTTGATGCATTTAAGCAACGAAAACAACACTATTGCTACAACTAATAGTAATAATAATAATAATAAAAAAATTAATAATAACGGGGAGAGTTAAGGGGGGGGGATAAAAAGCACGTTCAGCCCAGTGAGGGGCTCGAGGTCACGACGCCCGGAACCTAACCCCAACTCTTGGCAACTTGCAGGAAACAACACCCACAAGGACTTTATCTTTTTTTTTTTTTTCCTCTTTTTTTTTCTTCCCCGACCCCCTGCTCCCCAGCCCACCCTCCGGCTGCGTGCCCACATTGGCTTGGTGACATAAGTGACCTTTCTGCAGGACCAGCCACCCTTGCCGGTGACGGAGCGAGGTGGCCCCAGATGGCTCACCAAGGAGCAAGCCAAGGGACTAACCAGGAGCTGCTTTTGCCTCCCCTCTTCCCACTCCCTCAAGAGGAGCCAGGGAATGGAAAATCACCCCGGGTGGACCCACCTAGGACAGGAAAGCCCAGAGGTGACCCACGCTGGTGGCAGTGTCACCCCTTCTGAGGTCCTGACTCTCCCTCGAGCCCCTCGCGATGCCTGGCCCCATGTGGGTGTTTCTCAGGCACTTGTTAATCAACTGAGTGGAGCCCCTGGAGATGGAGAAACCTGCTCCTGAAGACACCTTCACCCCTCTCTACCCCTGCAGCTGCTCCCAGGGGGCAGAGGCAAGGACACCAGGACATCTCCGGGCCACCCAGTGGGGACCCTGTTTCTCCAGCACGTAAAGCAACTTGAGCTCAGCGGTGGAGGCTTTGGTTTACATCCTTCTCCCCCCTCCCTGCCCTCTATATTTTGGCAAAGTCCCATTTTGCTGGCAAAAAAAAAAAAAATCTCAGCGGTGGTGGCGAACAAAACCACCCCGGGGCTGGTGCCACCCCACGGCACCCCCCCATCTGTCCCCCTCCTCGCTGTGGCTCTCTGGGGGGGTGGCACAGAGCCCCATGGAGCCTTCAGTCCCTGGTGGCACAGCAGGCAGTGCAGGGAAGGTGGCTGTGACACCAGAGGGAGGAGGTAATAAGGCCACCAAGGCTCCCCCCTCCAGTGCCTGCTGCTGCCACCAGTGTCCCCTACCCCACGCCAAGCCACTGGTGGCCCTGGCCAGAGCTCTGAGAGAGTCTGGGGGCTCTCCTCTCCCCACCCAGAGAGGCTGTGCGGTGGGGAGCCGGAGGAGAAGGCTTCCCAAGAGACATCCTGGAAAGAGACAACTCTTTCCAATGGCGAGGGAAGGGGACGGGGCTGCTTTTCCCTGGGGGTTCAGCCACGCCACATCCATCAGCAGCCCTTGAGAAAGGTGGGGAGGGACAGAGGAAGGAATTTTTTTTTGGGGGGGAGCAAGGTGGTGGGGAGAAGGTCACTGACTTTGGCTCAACTCTTCAGCTGGCTGGTACAGGCTTCCCTTAAAACTCCAAAAAAGACCTCCCCCCGGGGCTGCTTCCTACCAGCTCCTCTGCCAGGGAGAGACCGGGACGACGTGAAGCAGGAGATGGGATAAGAGGGGCTGGAGATAAAGAACAGGGAGGAAAAGGAGAGGAGGGAAAGGGGTGGCCTCGTGTTATAAAGGCAGAGTCCTAGATCTTAAATACATCACGTAAAATACAGCGTGGGGAGGCGGCGAGGGGAGGAAAGGGGGGGCGGGGGTTAAAACTCAATTATCATTATCTTAAGCAAACTGGTAGCATTATTCAGTAGTTAGTAAACAGAACATTAAACCTTTGTCCAGCGTGTTCGGAGGGGTCAGGAAGGGAGAAAGGGAGGAGGAAAAAAAAAAAAGGAGGAAGGAGAGGTGTGGATGTGTGTGTGAAGGACAGCAGGAACTCAGCCACTCTTGTGACTCCCATCTCCAGTCCGCATTTTCCGGGCCAGGATGACCTCCTTGGAGACCTTCTTGCGATCGCTGGCCAGCCCCAGGAGGCACATGAGGTCGATGAAGGCTGTGGTTAAGTTGAAGCGCCAGCCGAACTCACTGGTGGAGTAGTCGTAGGGGAAGGTGTGGTGGTAGTTGTGGAAGCCTTCTCCTGCAAAACACCACCGGGGGAGAGGATATTGTAGAGCTCCAGGTGAAGGCCCCTGTACCTTGGCCCAAAGCACCACATTCCTCAAAACAGCCTCTGGATTCAAGCCAGGCTCCTCTCAGCTGAATTTCACCTCTCTACAACCCACCCCATCCCATCTGGGCATGGTCTAGCGTGCCCAGGCTGGCCCAAATGAGGCAACGACAGTCATAGAGGACCTGTGGGCCTTTAGAGGAAAAGAAGCGTGTGGCGAGGAACTGAGACAGGCCCTGGCTCACTGACTGCACCAAAACACCAGGGGAATCCTAACGGCTTCTCCTCTGCCACCTCGAGAAACCTTCTAGTAGTGGTTGAGCCACCAGCCCAACAAGCCAGACCAGTCCATACTCCCACACCACCAGCAGTCCTAATCCAAAGGGCATTTCCAGATGGGAATCATGCAGACAGACTTCTAGTAAGCGATCCACCCCCATCACCCTCTGCTTGGGACAGTGTCAAGCCTGGCTTCAGTGCTCATCCCTTCAATGGCATCATCTGGACTCCTGCTCCTACCCCCTCCCCAGGTCTCTGCAGCTCAAATCCCTCCCTGCTGAAAATCTGGGAGCAGAAAACCCTTTGGTGGTGAGAATGAGTGCAGCCTCAGTGACGTACAAACATGTGAACCAGCTGAGGATCTGGGCTTGGGAGAACAGGTCAGGGCCAACGCTGACCATGGGGTGTACTTTCCTAGGTCCCCAGAATTTCAGGAAAAACACATGAGATGATGGGACTTGCCTCATCCTCCCCCCCCAAAACCCCCAGCTGCCCTGCAAACACGTCCAAAGGCGCATCTGCTGGTGTTCCGAGTTGACAAATCTAAAGAGAGATAAGCAGAGGCTGAGGCACACACTGCTTTTCCAGCCTGGAGAACAGGGCAGAAGGACCTTGGAGCAGGGCAAATAAAATATTGCTATCGAGATAAGGAGGTGCTAAGTGTAGCAGAGTCCTTTCCAGCCTGGAGAGAGGCTGGGGGGGGAGCTGATAACCCCACTGCCCTTGTGTACTCAACTGGCCCGCCTGGGAAACACCCCCAGGTGGCAAAGGCCGGTGGGGAAAGGCACAGGGGGACCTGGGGACACCTGGAATCACAGAAGCAGCTACAGGCCCAAGGGACCATCCCCACTCTACTGTCTACCCCGCAGCAGAAGACAGGGATGCTGAACGTACCTAGGGCCCCCAGGCTGACCAGGGGGTTCTCCCGTGGGTTGATGTTCTGATCGTACGGCCGGTTGCCGAACATGTGGGCAGCACTGTTGACTAGCCAAGTGGCGTTGAGCCCTATGGTGTAGCGCAGGATGGCTGGAATGAAGAAGCTGATGACGATGGATTCATCCCAGTAGTACCAGGGCACCAGAGTGGGCAGCGCGAAGCACAGCAACACCACCGAGGGCTTGTAGTATCTGGAGAGGAAGGGGACCAGGAGGAAAAGGCTCAGTGGGCAGAGGCAGGACATGAAGGCTTGGTTCTGTCCTCCCTTTGGAGGAGTCATACTCAGCTTTACAGGGAAAAAAAAAAAAAATCAAGAAATACCTCACCCCTCAGCACCCCTGCATCTTTTGTCCTGGATGTGCAGAAGCCACACCTGAAGACTCCCAGGTCTTACCACTGGGCAAGAGACTCAAACTCAAGTCCAGCTCTCCCCATCTCAATCTAACACATGCACAAAGCAACGTCCCCACCACCACGTTTGTCCTGGATGTGCAGAAGCCACACCTGAAGACTCCCAGGTCTTACCACTGGGCAAGAGACTCAAACTCAAGTCCAGCTCTCCCCATCTCAATCTAACACATGCACAAAGCAACGTCCCCACCACCACGAGACACCAGCTGCTGCTTTTGGCCTCAAATGCCACTTCCTTCCCAGCTATGTTGGCCCCCACAAAGGCAACTCCATGCTTGCAGAGTCCCACAGAGCACCAACAAGTGTAAGCAAGGGACACCTACTCCATCAAAGAGATGATCATGTGGGGTCTTTCAAACCAGAGGGATGGGAGTAGAGGAAGCTGAACCACTCTGATGACCCACAAGAAAAATCCCAGGCACAAACAGGAGGGAAGCCATAAACCTTGCTTGGTTCGTTCGGGACTGAACTAGGGACCTCCTGAGTGAGGGACCTTCTAGTGACCTCCTGAACTATATGGATTCAGCCCCCATCCCTGGAGCCCTGGTGACAAGCTTGCCTCCTCTGGGGATCAGTCCCAGTGTAGACCCAGACAGCTGAGAGATACCCCATCCCAGAGGCACCAGTTAGTCAAGACTATCCTTCCCAGTTACTGTCTCTCTCATTTCCCCATTTTCACCATGCTGTTTCCAGGAGACTGATGGGAGAAGAGCAGAGGCATGGCCTGGAAGGTGCACCGCAACATCTCCAAGGATGGCCTGGAGGCATCCGTAGACCCAGACAGCTGAGAGATACCCCATCCCAGAGGCACCAGTTAGTCAAGACTATCCTTCCCAGTTACTGTCTCTCTCATTTCCCCATTTTCACCATGCTGTTTCCAGGAGACTGATGGGAGAAGAGCAGAGGCATGGCCTGGAAGGTGCACCGCAACATCTCCAAGGATGGCCTGGAGGCATCCATGGGTGGGCTCTGGGCCAGCCAAAGCAGCAGCTGGGCTGTGGGAAGGCAGGTGTGGAGGTGCTTTGTGGTGGGAAGCTCAGCCCAATGCTGGCAAGATGCTAGAGGGTAGGCGGGCAAGAAAAAGGGGTGTGGAAGGGCAGGAGGTACCACTAGCTCCTAAATACTTCCTACAGGAGAGGCAGCTCATTCCTACAGGAGAGGAGCTCATTTATCACAGAATCATAGAATGGTTCAGGTTGGAAGGGACCTTAAAGATCATTCAGTTCCAACCCCCTCGTCCTACGGCTCCCATCCCTGATCAAGAGTCCCTCCCCACTCTCCTGTAGCCCCTTTAAGTGGGGGTGGAGGGCTATGGTTCATCTCACAGTTCATCCCACAGCAAAACCTCAGGCACATCAAAGATTCACATGATGCCCTCAATCCCCTCACGCTCCATCAAAGGCGCTTGGGGTCTCCATTCCATTTGCAGGGGTCCCTTCTCCATCCCACATGCTTCTGGGCTGGGCCACCACTCACCTCCGCTGGAACATCACCACTTTGTCAGCCTTTATGTCGCTCAGGTCCAGCTTCTGGCCCTTCTCTATGACGTCCGGGTGCTTGCGCACCAGCAGCCAGCCGATGTGGGAGAAGAAGAAGCCCCGCATGGCATTGTGTGGGTCTGCATCTGTCTCAGAGAACTTGTGATGGACGCGGTGGTCCCGGACCCACTCGTAGATGTCATTCTGCAAGGCAAGAGGAGTGGAGACTTAGGGGCAGGGCTGGAGATGTCCCCTTCAAATCAACAAAAGGCCCTAAAACACTCAGACACCTAAATCCCATTGACTTGAACTTGCATCAGGCATTTTATCTTTCATTCGGGTTTGGGGTTTTAAAACAAAGTTTGGGTCTTCTTTGCTCAACCACTTCAATTTTCTTTGAAATCTGCCTCTTTTCTGGGCTGCCTATTTTTATTTATTTATTTTATTTAATTGGCTGACTTGAGGCTGTGGTTTGCACTTCCTCTCCAGCATCACAGGCTCCCACTGGTTGGCCTGTCCCCCCACCCCTGCAATAGCTGGCCCTCACTGGCCACTCTGTAGCCTCCCCCCTCTCACTCTCAGCTTTTGTTGGCCACTCATCCCCATCCCTCCACGGTGCCAGCTGGAATTGATTGACCTGCCCCTTCCCTTCGCCATGACATTTTTTCCATGGGTCAACCTGCCTTGGCTTTTCACAGGATTGCCAAATCAGATCTGTTTAACTTGGGAGCAATTTTTTCTAATCTTTTTTTTTTCCTCCCCCATTGGAAATCAGTCTTAAAACTACGGCCCCTTTTTTTACAAACAGAATAAACACATCATTTCAATGACAGTTTTCAAAAATAGCCCCCCTCCCCTCCAGCCCCATAACTGTTCTGTTTAAGCTGCAAAATCAATACAGTTTGGAAAATGTCAAAGCTTTCATCATCTGTATGAAGAAATGATTGTTTTGGCCAGTGTTAAGAATAGATTTTAATGAGCCTGTGCTCATTCCTTTATACCAAGGTTGTGATGTGCTTAAAGCCATGTATTACACCATTCATTAGAGGAGAGATCCAAGCACGCCCCTATTGCCTGTATTACCCAAGAGGCTCCTTAATCTCCTGAGTACATAGGACTTTTCCTCAAAACACTTTGAAGGTAGGGAAGTGGCATAATCATCCCTATTTCTTGCCTGGAAAGACCGAGTGACTTAACCACACAGGGAGCCTGTAGCAGAGACACAACTCCTCAAGTCCACCTCAAGTGCCATAACCACGTCTCCTTCAGCTGAGATAAAATGATTTGCCCACAGGCCATGGAATAAGTCAACCATAGACACAAGTCCAGCATTCAACTCTCACTTTTTTTTTCCAAATACTTCCAATTTTTTCCAAATTGCTGCTTTCCTCCCAGCCAAATCCCGAGCACCAACTAGTACCACCAACCCTCAGTGATGTCAGTCAGAACTTGGTCACTCAGGATTCCCCCAGAAGAGTGTGGGCCAGGAGCCTTTCCTATCTGGTAAGCAAAGGAACACAACCCGTACCCATACTAAAAAGAGGTGATTCTTTGAGCACCTGCTCTGGTGGGAGGTGTCCCTGCCCAGGGCAGGGAGTTGGAACTGGATGATCTTTAAGGTCCCTTCCAACCCAAACCATTCTGTGACATGTTTCATCTGTGACCCAAAATCTCCTCACAGGTAGAGGAGTTGATAAGGGGCAGAAGTCCCAAATTCTCTGAAATCATGAGTCACAGGTCTCTGAGCAGCCAACAGGCATTTTCTGGAGGACCTCAGATAAGATAATCAAGAGTCTCCTCTGGCCTTAAAAGTCACTGGTCTCATCTTAGAGCTGCTGCCACTAACAGGAAACAGATAAATTGAAAATAAACCTTCTCTTCATCTCATTAAAAGTAACTATTAAAAAAAATAATAATCCACAGGGCATGGTAGTGAATTTTCAGTAAAACTTTGGATTAGTTCCTATTGAAGCTGAAATATCTCTCTGTCTCTCATCTTTGTCTGTCCTATCCCCTACAGGAACAGCTCAGCAAATTCTTTCCCCCTCTGCCCTATAACCCCATGAAAGATGGTCTTTGTAGAGGACTAATACACAGCAACCCATCCCATCCCTGTGCTGAGTGTTGGACCAGGAGGTGGAATTAGCAGCTTGGTCCTTCCTCCTCAAAGATGCTGGTTTGGTACTAACAGACATTAGGAAGATCCATGGTGTTTTACAAAGTTTTTAGATGATTGGGTATTAGGAAAAATTTTTACACTGACAGGGTTATTAAGCATTGGAAGAGGCTGCCCAGGGAAGTGGTGGAGAAAGTCTTTAGATGACTGGATATTAGGAAAAAAATTTTACACTGACAGGGTTATTAAGCATTGGAAGAGGCTGCCCAGGGAAGTGGTGGAGTCACCATCCCTGGAGGTATTTAAAAGATTGGTGGATGTGGTGCTTAGAGATATGGTTCAGTGACGGTTCTTATCAGTGTCAGGTTGATGGTTGGACTAGATGATCTGAGAGATACAACCCAGGCAATTCTGATTCTATGATTCACCCACACCCTGTTCTGATTACGTGTCAATGAAGCGATACCCTCTGTGGCCACACAATGGGAAAAAGAAGATAACGTCTCCAAAATACCTGGTCCACTTGGACTTTCCCCCCCTACCTGAGCTGGAGAATTTTTTAGGGGCACACCACTGATACTTTTCTGCTCACCACCTTCTAGCAGGAAGCGCTGCACCCTGTCACCCTCCCGAGTAGTTCCTACAGATGAGCAAGCTTGGATGAAGTCCCTTCAAGTACAGCTGGAGGAACGGAGTGCCCTCAGAGCTGCCTCACAGCAGCACACCCCAGAGACCACCAGGATTTTCCGGGGCTATGCCTATCTGGGCTTTCACTCTGACATCTTCTAAAGGGCCATCTCTGCTATTTTCTACAGTCCCCAAGGACCTCCCAGTCGCTCTGTTTGCTTTGTGGACTGTGAAGTGCTCTCACTGTGAGTGGTTGGGCAATATCCTGAGGTGCTTATCAGCCGCCTGCAGTCACTTGTGCCACTCTGAATGGGCCCAGCCCTCTCCTCGAAATATCACTGATCTGAGATGACTCTCTGGAAGCCACTGGTGTGACTTACAACAGGGTTATTCTCCTAAGTATCACTCTTCTGAACCAGAGAAGCTTCCCCCTAAACTGCGTAACTTCAACAAGTTCTTGGTCCTTCTGCAGCAGCAAATTCCACGGGCTGTGCAGATGTCCCCCCCCCCCTTCCCCTTATCAGCCCTGCAGCAAGAGGAGGGTGAGGCAACCCAAACACCAGGAGAGCACTTAGCACTTCATCACGTCTTTCATAGGACCTGGAGCAAGCAGAGGGAGACCACACCTCGAGGGAAGGGTACATTCCTGCTTTGGAGAGCTTTCCAACCCCTGATCTTGTCCAACAGTCATAGAATGGTTGGAAGGGATCTCAAAGATCATCCAGTTCCAACCCCCTGCCCTGGGCAGGGACACCTCCCACTACACCAAGTTACTCGAAATCCCATCCAACCTGGCCTTGAACACCTCCAGGGATGGGGCAGCCACAGCTTCTCTGGGCAACCTGGGCCAGTGTCTCACCACCCTCACAGCAAAGAATTTCTTCCTAGTATCTAATCTAAATCTCCCCTCTTTCAGTTTAAAACCATTACCTCTCATCCTCTCCCACCCAGTTGTCTCAGAGTCACCCTCTGATGAGATAAGATGAAGACAATGAGATGGACTCTAGCACTGCTGTGTAAGCTGGAAAGGGCAAGCTGTTTCCGAACAAGAGTTCATAGGACAGAGAAACCTCTCCATCAGCTTGTGCCCCCTGCCTGAGACAGGCATTCCAGAGGAGAACTTCATTCTGAGGACCAGTGGCACACTGAGGAGGTGCTTACCTGGAAGGCCATGGAGTTTGCAATAGTCAGGAAGATCCGCAGGGGCAGCGTGGCTTTGTAGGACCGATGGCTCCAGAGGCGGTGAGATCCAGCTGTTATCCCCAGAGCGCTCACCAGGAAACACAGGACAGCTGGAGAGGAAAAGAAAGAGTTGGGGCAGTTAGAGCAAGTCAGCCTGCAGCAAAGTTTCAGGCAGAGCAACACAAAGGCAAAGGCTTCCCCAAACCTGTACGAGCGAGAGAGGAACGCATGGAGACCACAGACTGGGACAATAAAAACCAATGCGAGAGTACCCAAGCCACCACAGGCTTCCTAAGCAATGTGGGGCAAATCACTTCAGTTCTTCACCTCTGACAAGGGAGGAAGCTCCCCCTCACAAGACTTGTCGCAGAGGCAGACATTGGTGGGCCCAGTTGAGCTTTGAGGCTGCTTCATGAGTTCCCTCTCCACACAGGACATAAAGGGGCAAGGAACTCCTTGTCCCTCTGGCATCTAGTAAAAAAACCCACATCCCTCTCCCTCTGGATCTGCCCTGGTCTCTGTGTTCCCACATATCCTCCTGGGACCTCTGGAATTTAACCTGGGGTTCCAGCATCTTTAGGTCCTAGACCTAAAATGGAGAAAAGATCCCCAAGAGGGTCAGAGCAGCATTACATTAGGAATCTGGGGCTAAGAAGAAAACGGGATCTGAAAATTAACTCCTTCTCTAGGAAGGAAGGGTCAGGAAGTTTGGCAGAAAGACGGAGGGCATTCAACAGTTGGTTTGCCCTCCAAGTTCACACACCGAGAGGGAAGGGAGCACATCTCTGCAGAGATCCATCCTGCGGGAAGAAACACCTTCTTCCCAGTTCCCCTGGGGAAAACTCTTTCCTTGGTATAAATTTTCAGATTTCAGTCAATTGGATGTATCATTAACACAGCTCCTTATCCTCACATGTAAATCTGTGGACAGGAATTGCTGGGATGCTTGACAATACCACTCAGCCCAGCAAAATGGCTCCAATCAAGCTTATCTTTAACCAAGAAAATAGACACTCTGCCAAAAGCTTGCCTGGAATCAGAGATGTGAGGCACGTGCAAGGCATTGTTGCCCTGTTCTTTCATTCAAAATAATCCAGGCTTTATTTCCTATCATCTCCCACTCCTTCTTCCTTCTGTCACCTCCTCTTTGTTTTTCTACATTCCACACTTAATCTCTTTCCCTCTAAAAGCCAGTCCCGGCTGATTTAACATCCTCTTCTGGCCCCTTAAACTTGAGTGAACCCTTCTCGCTCCCATCCTACTGTACAACAGTGACCTTCCCCATCTGCTGATCTGACCGTGACTCCCCACCTTCATCTTCTCCCTTGGCCTCCCCTTCAGTGCAAGCCTGGGACCAGCACATCTGGTCCCTTGGAGAAGACAAGTGGTCACTGATTTATAGGTCATACCTGATTTATAGGGCATGAAAAGGGATGAAAACGCACGCAAACACAGCAGGATCTGACTTTTGGAAGAGGTGATGGAGCAAACCTGTAAGGGTTGGTATGGAGGAGCAGGGCGTTTGGTTCAGGTCTCCTTTGGCCTCCCTGACAGCAAAGCACCTATACCTTAAAGGTCTCACCCAGTCCCGTGGTGTTGACTTGAAAGTTATGAAGCAGCTCATGACCTGAGCAAACCTGGAAGGGTTGGTATGGAGGAGCATGGCGTTTGGTTCAGGTCTCCTTTGGCCTTCCTGACAGCAAAGCACCTATGCTGGACACCTTAAAGGTCTCACCCAGTCCCATGGTGCTGACTTGAAAGTTATGAAGCAGCTCATGACCAGTTCCCTGTTGGTTTTAGACTTTAAGACTCATTTTAGGGCCACGAAGGTGATCAAAGGCCTGGAGCACCTCTCCTATGAAGACAGGCTGAGAGAGTCCGGGGTGTTCAGCCTGGAGAAGAAAAGGCTCCAAGAAGACCTTACAGCTCCTTCCAGTCCCTAAAGGGGCTCCAGGAGGGATGGGAAGAGACTCTTGATCAGGGATTGGAGCCATAGGACGAGGGGTAATGGTTTTAAACTGGAAGAGGGGAGATTTGGTTTAGATCTTAGGAAGGAAGGAAGGAATTCTTTCCTGGGACAATGGAACAGGTTGCCCAGAGAAGCTGTGGATGCCCCATCCCTGGAGGGGTTCAAGGCCGGGCTGGATGGGGCTTTGAGCAACCTGGTCTGGTGGGAGGTGTCCCTGCCCAGGGCAGGGGGGTTGGAACTGGATGATCTTCAAGGTCCCTTCCAACCCAAACCATTCTATGATTTTAAATCAGTCACTATCCCCATAGATTCATACAGAAGAGCAAACCTTGAAAAAAATCAGTCACTATCCCCACAGATTCATACAGAAGAGCAAACCTTGAAAAAGCACCTAAGATATGACTGATTTGCAGAACCTCTCTGGTTCCACACTGAGGTTCAACAACAAAACCCGCTCCTGGATGTCTCAGACGGTGCCTACAAGCAGCAGGAGCATGACTCACCACCATTCTCCCTGAAATATAAGCAGCTACACCCTGCAAACCGCATTTCATAAAACCTCTGGGCAACTTTATGCCCACGGTGCACACCTCAGTAGCTGAGACAGCTTTCCAAGGGCGACAAGCAGTTTATGGCAGAGCTGAGGAGCAGTATCCAGGAGCCTGGATTTAAACTCCAACCCCTAGAGACTCTATGAAAAACACCAGGCAGGGAGTCCATGATAAAGCACAGCAGTTTACAAGGGATGTGTGGGGCAATTTGCAACCCAATTCTCCACAGTGGGACAAGTAGGCATGAATTAATGGCACGCTGGGGACAGAAGTGCAATCTTTCATGATCTTCAAGAAAAGTAAATGCCAGGTCAGGTGAGTACAGGCCCTATTTATAGCCCTGAGTTCAGGCCTCCCTCTCTGGTGAATCCTCACGTGCTGATCAGGAATTTTTTTGGCAAAAAGAAGCCTCCAGGAAGATGTCTCTGGCTGAGGACTGTGGTGTTTAAGCTTTGCAAGAAGGAAGATCTGTATCTCTTTTATACAGGCAATTTCCAGAACTTGCCTGTGGGCATCCCGCTCGGGAAAAGATGACACCAGCAATGAAGACATATCCGTGAGCCCAAGGAATCACAAAAGAGACATGGTGAGGACACCAACAGGCCCAGAAAACGAAAAACCCAGTACTTGCTTTTGGGTAGCCTTGCCTGAAATTTTTGTTAAAAGCCTGAAAGCTTTTGTTAAAAATTAGGAAAAGTACCCACTGCTTTTGGGTTCCCTGGCATAGAACAGTCACAGCCTTCATCCAAAACCCAGGAACCTCAGCAGGGAGCATTGACTTCTCCTGGAGCTGTGTCCCAGGTCACTACAACGGTCACAACTCTCTAATTAAAATCCCCTGTTGCCTTGTCTCTTGCCCATATCCAGAGGCTGTACTTTATCTAAGGAGCAGACTCTTTCTGTGGGAAAGGAGCTGATTTTCAGTCTATGCCTACATAGCACCCAGCCCCACAGAAACCCAAACCCTACCTGGGGACTATTAGCCCCATCAGCCATACCTAAGAGCTGTTGTAGTGACAGGATATAGACGATAAGATTAAAAAGCCTCATGGAAAACAGATTCAGTGGGTTCATCCCTGCAAACAGGCACAGTGACGATCATGGCATAGCCAGGGAATCAGCATCTCACAGGGGAGAAGCTCCTCCAAGACCATCCACTGGGAATGAAATTGGAAAGAGAGTAGAGATGGTAAAATAAAGTTTTCACAGATTGTCACAGCTGTCCCGTGATGCTGCCCCATGATGCTGCCCCAAACTGAAGGACTTAGGGGCTCCGTCAGCTGAGGTTTCCAGGTCATCTTCCCCAACATGCTTTGAAGTACTCAAGTTCCAAAAAACTGGCAACTTACAGGTGATGCTCCCAATGACCCATTCAACTGGAATACGAAGAATTATGGCCATGGGCAGTAACATGCACTCAGTGCTCCAAAAATAAATCCCAAAACATTCCAGATTCAGTCATGTCTATATGACTCAGGAGCCTTTACTCCTTTAGGGCCCAGATTCAGACCTCAAGTTACGATGGGAAGCCAGGAATGTGCTAAAGGCATTGTCACCTGCAGTCAACACCGTGGATGTTTACATGGAGAGGTGTCCTTGCTCCAGCAGGTGTCCTTGGGTTTCTGCTCAGTGCGAAGGAAAACTACAGCTCTGGACTGTTCCCTCCTTGTCTCCCAGTCCTTCTGGCCAGGTGGGTTGTGCTACTCTCAGGAGAAAGATAGTGAGAGCGAGAAAACGTGTAGGCTGCATGAAGAACAGCGTTTGTGAGGAGCAGTAGGAGCTACTGTTGCTAAAACCCAACTTCCCTGTCTGGCAAAAATCAGAATTTCCCCTCCACACTCGGAGAAGCAGGCCACCTGCTAGTTAAGCCTGCTTTCCCCTCCACGCTTGGAGGAGAAGCAGGCCACCTGCTAGTTAAGCCTGGAGAGGACACTAGAGAGGTGTTCTCAGCAGTAGTCTTGATGGGAAAGTAACATAAAACTTCTGTAAGCGTTTTGCAGGACACATCCCTCGGGAGTAGCACTGTCAGAGTTGCCTGAATTATCCAGCAAGATGCTCCTTGATCCAAAGATGATGCAGCAGCAAGAAAAAAACCAAAAACGGTATCAGCCCACGCTTTGGCCACCAGTGGCATAGCAGGGAGCTGGGGGGGCTGTTAGACCACCGCACCAAGAGGAACATCACCGTTTTATAGAGACTGTTGGCCAAGCCAAGAGGGGTTAACACAAATATCATTGAGCTGCTGCACCCCAGGGCCAGGAAGACAACCTGCAAATTGTGTTTCCAAGGAGGCTTGGAGCAGTTAGAGAAGAAGCTGCCAATCACCTTTGCATCCTTGCCCTTCCAGGCTGGGTCTCTATGTCGTTTGGCAAACGCCGTGAAACCTGCCCTGTGATCCCTGAAGAGACTGCGCAAGACTCTTGTCAAGCGCAGCGGAGAAGGCAGTAAATAAATAAAAAGGGAAGCTGGCTAGAAAGCCACAGGTCTTGTGGAGAGCCCTCGTTCTGGGGAGCTCTCACCTGATCAACAACCCCAGCTCGTTCTGGGCAGCTCCGTACCAGAAAGAGATCCGGGGATACAATGCACACAGCGACGCAGAACAGCAAACAATGATGAAGGCAGGGCCCCGGAGAGCTTGAGAGACAAAGAGGAATTAGCACACAGAGAAATGAAAACAAAAGGGGACACAGTCACCAATATAACTGGTTTCAGAGGGACGGGGACATCAAGGAGATGGTGGCCCGGGCGAAGAGGGTATAAGCAGGGGATTTGCTCTTTATAATAAAATATAGAAGGTCGATCAGCTGCCAGGCACTAGAAGCATCACAACGGTGAATGTCTGGGGCCATGTTAATTTTATATGATATGTACACAGCCTAAAGAAGGCACGAGCTGAAAAACAAACAAGGAAACAAGGAAAAACCCCAGCTGTTCCAGATCTACGCTGGGAGAGCTGCTCTGCCATGAGCCCATGGTGTATCGCCAGGAGCAACAGAAGCCTCTGCTGCAATATCCTTGTTGGGGAAACGGGAACCGTAGCCCTCTCCCTGCTACCGGGAGATGCTGGGAAAATAATAGAAAGTCACCAAGACAACAGCCACGGATGTCTTGCGTGCGCTAAAGAAAGGTATGAACCAAGAAAAGGACAGCACAAGAAGGAGCAAGGAGCTCTGCTGACAATCCAGACCTGTGGAGGATCAAAGTACCCCAGCTCCAGTAAGCACTGGAGGAGAACGGACTATAGGGGAAAGCTCTGGCTTGGCTCCAGGGTGCAGGGAAGGGTGGTCCTTCCCCAGAACAAGTGTCAGCTCCACAGGAGCTCTGTGGAGCTACTCCAGCTTTGGTAAGGCAGGACAGATCTTCAGCCAGTCCAGAACAGTGCAGTTCCCTCAAATTCCATGTCCTTCTCCCATTCCCAGAGCATCTGTCACTCCAGAAGCCACCAAGGAATCTTGCAGTGCCTCACAGTGGCAGGGGAGCAACTGCCACTTCACATGGGACTTGACTGAGAAGGGGAGCAGAAGGGATGGTCATGAGGTAAAAGGCAAGGCAGGGTCCCAGGAAATGCCATGGGATGCCATACAGATATCCCAGACAGGCATCTGGTTGCAAAGACACTGCCTCAGAGACCATTTTGGGGTAAGATGGGGCTTAGCAGAAGGCAAAGCAGCATTAACCTTCTGGATCAAGATGCTCAAGGCCGTGTACATTATCTCAGGGCAGCTCAAGGGAGAAGGGTTGGATGGATTTGGAAATCAGGGTGCATCTCAGCAGCTTGAAATGAAACCAGTAAACCCATCTCACCTTTTCCTTCCTCCTCGCCCCAGTGCCCTGAGGGTATCTGGCTGGGGTTGGAGGACCCAGGCTGCCAGCTCAGTGAGGAAGAGAAGCCAGCAGCCCCTGCCCACCCTCCACCTGAGAGCCCAGAGGTGGGACACAGAGCCCTGAAACACTCCTCCAAGGTTGTGCTGAGGCTGCACGTTCTGCCCAGCCCTGCCAACCCTGGGGAAAACACGGCCTGTCAGGTTTTCACAAGGGAAAGGTCCAGCAAAGTCTTCTTTCATAAAAACCCCCATGAAAGGCCATGCTGGTTGCACAGGGAACATGTTGGTGACACTTTTTGCAGAAGCTGTAACCAGCTTCTGACCGAGTCCCGTGGCCTCCAGTGATGCTCATCCCCCAGAATTCTCCCTGTGAGAAGGCTAAGATGGTCCAGGAGGAAAAGAGTCCATCTGGGCATCCAGGGAGCCATCTCTGTCCCAGTCCAGCTGTGATGCTCATTGATCACAACCATTGCAAAGACAGACTTTGAGAGCGTGACAGACTGTCATAGAATCATAGAATGGTCCAGGTTGGAAGGGACCTCAGTGATCATCAAGTTCCAACCCCCCCACCATGGGCAGAGTCACCTCCCACCAGACCAGGTTGCTCAAAGTCCCATCCAGCCTGGCCTTGAACCCCTCCAGGGATGGGGCAGCCACAGCTTCTCTGGGCAACCTGAACAAGTGTCTCACCACCCCTACAGGAAAGAATTCCTTCCTGAGATCTAATCTAAATCTCCCCTCTTCCAGCTTAAAACCATTACCTCTTGTCCTATCGATCCACTCCCTGATCAAGAGTCCCTCCCCATCTCTCCTGTAGCCCCTTTAGGGACTGGAAGGGGCTCTAAGGTCTCCCTGGAGCCTTCTCTTCTCCAGGCTGAACAACCCCAACTCTCTCAGCCTGTCCTCACAGCAGAGGTGCTCTGGTCCTCGGAGCATCTTTGTGGCCTCCTCTGGACTCGTTCCATCACTCCAGGGCCTGTCCACAGCTGGGCTGGCCAGGATGCTGCTCCTGGCCGAGCGCTTTGCCGGAGCACCGCTGAAACCAAAAGCCAGGCCAGCAGGCCTCAAAGGAGACTGCCGCTTTTCCGTTTCGGGATGCTGTGTTCCACGGGAAGGCAAGGGGCTGGATGCAATCTCCCGACCTCCCCACTGTGAGCCGTTTGGCTTCTTGACACCCCCAGGGGTCCACACAAAGGCTGGTGGAAAGCAGGGCTCCCCTGCAGCTTGGGCCCCGGGCCCAGCTGCCTTTCAAGCAGTCAAAGGAGAAGTTTGGTTCCTGCCCAGGGCAAGGTCTGTGAGAAAGGGGAGCTTCGCCTCACTACCTTCTGCTGGGTTGTGTTTTCCACTGGAATTCGCTGCCTGGAGAGCCGCTTATTTATATTTTTTTTTTTTTTGAAAGTTGTCAGGCTTAGTTCCGGGATGATGGGGGCTCATCTGTCCTTTTGTAAGAACGGTAAAAGACCTGAGCTTCAGACTTAACTCTTGACTTTAATCCTCAGCACAACTGTATTTTGTCTCTGCGTGGAGGCGCTGAGGGATTGACCCTCCCTCGTTAAGGGCAGGAATGGTTCTTTGGGCAGCAGCCTCGTGCCAACTAATGCCCCGTACCACCCCAGCCACCCCTTAACGTGTTCTCCTGAGCATCTTCCTTCCTGATGCTCGGAAGTCACAGTTCTCCACCGAACATCTGCCCTGCTTCACCCCAGGAGTGGCTACAACTTCCAAGCCTAATGCCCGTGAATCAAGTCTGTTCTTTTAGCAGCCAAGCAGTCCCCTGCCAAACCCTCCCCTCTCATGCATGACCTTACAAAAGACACTACGAAGCCCTCCCACAGCTTGCCACAAATCTGGCCGAGTCGCTTCTTCTAACAGAAGACCTCCACTCCCTCCTTTCTCTGTGGGCTTGGAGGAAAAAAAAACCAAAACAAAAACATACCACCCAATGGATCTGAGGTTTGCAAATGCCACGAAACAAATGGAGGAACATGCTTACCCCATGCCAAGGTCTGGATCTTCGCAGAAGGTATCAGCGTCAACCCGAAGATGCCCCCTAGATGCAGCAGGCTCATGAGGATGATATTCCTCCAGACGTATCGCATGGGGGGCTTGGGGCCTTCTTTCTCCCGGTAGGTCTCATCAAAGATATCGTCTATCATGCCCCGGTCTCCTGCCAAGTCCTCATGATTGATAAAGTCCTTCTCCATGACGGCATCCCCATTCCTGGTCACCCGGGAGGTGACGGTGCCGACGGTGGTGGTGGTGCTGGAAGCGGAGGAGAACTCCTTGGAGAGGCGGCGATGGACATTTTCAGGAAAGGCAAAAAAGGGAAAACAAAACAAGAAGTCGGTGGTTACCAATGCAGGGAACAGAAACACGGGCTGCAGTTTTCAGAGCAGGCTCCATTCCTTCAGCTGAGCCCTTGGCACCAAGAAGAGCCTGCCCTGGCTCCACCGAGGGGGAGGGAGCCTGATCTTTCTGAGGAGAGGAGGTGAACGAGGGACTGGCAGCAGAAATGACAGAAAAAAGACTTGAAAGCCACTCTTTTTTTACCAACAGTAGCTTTGGTGAGACCATTTGCAGGCTGCAAGGCTTTTAATGTTCCTTCAGTTTTACGAGTGGGCGGTTTTAGGTGGGCTCATGGTCTGGGCTTGTGCATAAGCAGACAACAATAGAGGAAATCTTGTGAATGAACAAAGAGGTGGCAGAGAAATACAGCCCCAAAACAAGGTTTTGTTATAAATCATCGGGCTGCTCCCGATACCCCACCCCTTGGTGTCAGCCCTGCTAGGGATCACTGGAGGAACATCAAGAAGATCCACAGGGGGGTTCCTCCTTTATCTCCCCCTGCTTCAACTTCCAGATCTGGGACGTGGCAAGACCAACATAACTGGAGACCAGCAGAAGGACGAGAAGCCGAGGGATGTGCTTCCAGTTGAGACATCCTATCCCACGGCTGCTGCTAAGCCTCTTATCCCTCTCCCACTTCCCACCCGCGGGCAAACTGAGGCACGGGAAGCCGATCCTCTGAGCCAAGGCCACCGGCGGGCAGAGAGGAAGTTCTAAGCGGGGGAGTTGGCTCGGCCTGGCTCTCTCCTGTAACCCCGACACACCACCTTGCCTCTCCAGACACTTGTTTGCCCTGGCCTGGTGACAGCCCGTCCCATCAGGGCACGCATGACGACAGGAACGGGCAGGACTGACCCTAATGAGACAGGTCACTGAACCCTGAATCACCCGTTTCCATCTCCATCATGACAGCCACGTGCTCGCCGGTGCTCATAGACCTTTTATCTGGCCCAAAGCCCTACTGCCTGACGGGGTTGGACCCCCCCCCACCCCGGGGTTGGGGGGCTGTGCCAAGCACATGGGATGCCAACACATGGGATGCCAAGCCACCCCTCATCTCCTGGGAATCTGCCCGAAGGACACATCCCTGGCAGGAACTGGGGAGCCGGGACCACGGGAGCTCTTTTCCCCATAGAAACCTCTCCCGAATTCAGAGCAGATTCCCACCCATCATTCCTAAAAGACCACCGTCCTGCCATGGCCTAGTTTCCCGAGGGAGGCATTAAAATCAGGCCAGGCAGCTTACGTGGCCACCCCAACTCCTCCCTTTCCCAAGGGGAGAAACTAGAGGGTTACAGGCATACCTTCCTACGGGGAGGAGCCGGCAAAGCTGACAGATTTCCCCTCGCGTTTGGGAAGTAAAACTATCTCTACAGAGATCATTTCGTAAGTTTTTTCCTTCTGGAATCAAAGGTTAGAAAGGAAAAAAAAAAAAACAAAACAACCCAAAAACCCTGGACACGAAGTATCCCACTGCTTTATCTGATCCCAAGCAGCTGCTGGGCTCCAATCCGGCTCCCTCTGCATCCCGGCTTATAGGCTGCCTCTGCCTGCCTCCCTAATTAATATTTTGAGGGTTTGATACACGGCTCCCTCCGCATCCCAGCTTATAGGCTGCCTCTGCCTGCTTCCCTAATTAATATTTTGAGGGTTTGATACACCGAGCCGCTGGAAAATTTAGTGCCCCCCCCCACCAAAAAAATAATAAAAGAGCTGTGAGAAACGTCTTCTAACCTAGCGATTCAGCAAGGAAAAGTTCCTGCCCGTAAGAGCTGTGAGAAATGTCTTCTAACCCAGCGATTCAGCAAGGAAAAGTTCCTGCCCGTTTCAAAGCGTCAGATATTCTCATCTGGCATTTTGGCAGGAAAGCCAGGATTTTCTTCTTCCTTGGCTGGAAGACAAATCTGCCCAAAAAGAACCCAAGGCTTGTCTATGCAGGAAAAATTCCCAACAGAGAGATCTGGTGGTATAATTAGCCGGGGAACGCTCCCCATATGGACATGGCTGCTTCCAGGGTAAGAATGTGGGGCTGGAGTTGCATTTTTTTTCCTCCTCGGCGATAGCTTATGTCACTGTCAAAGTTAAGACGGGGGCAGAGGAGGAGGAGGAGGCAGGGCGCAAAGAAAACAGCAGAGAGGAAGGAAAAAAAACCAACAAAACCAAGCAAAAAACCAACACAAAACCAAAAAAAAAACCACCCTCTTTCTTCTTCCAGAGTCGTAGTAGCCACATGAGGAATTTTACCAGCGGACCTGTGCTGCTGGAATTACACTGATATCATCAAAGCCGTCATTTCTCACATGTAAATTAAATCAAAAGGGCTATAAAGCAGCTGTGAAACACAGCTCCACCGCTACAGGCCCGGGGGAGGGAGGGGGGGAGGGGGGGGAGCAGGCAGCTTTTTAGCTGAAGACCAGGGAAAGGAGGAGGAGAAGAAGACTTTTACCCCCTTATGGCCAAAACGGCTCCTTGGGGAGAAGAAAGTGGGATGGATGTGGGGTGTAGAGCTGAAGAGGGGGAGGAAGCCCCAACTACATCCCTCCCTCATTTCTGAATGACTTTGCAGCTCTCATCTGCAGAACAGATGTGTTCCCCCCCCCTCTCCATCCTCTACACCCCCTTCCCTTTTGCCACCCACCCTACCAGCATCCAACACGCTATAGGTGACCCTGGCCCCCCGCCAGCTTATACAACCCACTGCAGCTCCGAGGGGGCCCCAGGGCACTGGCATCTCGGGGAGGGTATATTCCAATATCCCCCACGTCACCCAGGGACAGGATTCTTTCCAGCCTCCAGGATATGACCCCTTCAAAAAAAACCCCAAAAAACCCCATAAATACATGCCAAGACCATGAAACACGCTTGCCCTGGGCATCTGTTTCAGGTTTGGGGGGGAGAGGAGTAAAGTTCTTTATGTGGTAGCATCCCTGGGAAGGTCGTGGCACCTGCACAAAAGGACCCGGGGTTGGGGAGGGGGGGGGACAGGCAGGAGAGCAGGGCTGTGATTTCCCTCCGCAAAAAAAAAAAAAAAAAAAAAAAAAAAAAAAAATCAACAAAAAACCCCCATAATAAATAAAAAATAAATAAAGATCTCTCAAGATCCGACAACTCCAAGGGATCTTCCCGCCGCCCCGGCTGTTATTCAAGAGCTTCTCCTGCCCCAAAAACGGGCAGCCCTCCCCCCCCCCCCCCCCCTTAAGTAGTGTTTATCCAGCATTTATCTACTGCTGAAATAGTCACTTTCTCTGTATTGCCCGAGCTTTACTCTGTTAAAAGAAACAACCACCAAACAAAAAACACCCCCCCCCCCCCCCCCCCCCAAAAAAAAAAAACATCGTATGTTTTGCCGGGTTCAGTCATTCATTTCGTCTGGGCAGCCCGGGCTGCTTTTCACCTTGCGACTGTCCTAGAGACGCTCCCCGGCTGCCAGGGTCGCCTTCAAAACGACCCCCAGCCCAAGCCCTTTCTTCTAAGAAAAATAATAAAAAACTAAGAAAATTAAGAAAAATTAAGAAAATTTTAAAAAAATGAAGAAAAAATTTAAAAAATCACAGCCTGAGCACTTAAAAAAAAAATAATAACAAAAAGCCCAAGACCTCTTGGCACAAAAGATCTTCCCGAAGAGCCTTTACCAGCAGCGTAGATGGATGTTTTGAGGAGAAATCTGTATTTTTATGCTCATTCTCTGCCAGGGCGCTGAGAATCCGGGCGGTAGAGACACCCCCCCCATTCCGGCTACCCCCCCCAAAATCACCGACCGTCTCCCCACGAGGTTTGGGGTGATGCCTTCGCTTAGCACCCAGTGACTTCGCCTGGGAGAGGGCACCCCCATACGTGAGTGTGTGTGTCCACGGACACGCGTGGATGCCCAAATCCCCCCCCCAACCAGCAGTGGGGGATGAAGGGGCGATGGGCAAACAAAGCCCCCCCCCCCCTCCTCTTTTTAGCAGCGCACCCCCCTTTTTTCGCTTACCTCCTCCTGCAGCAAGTGCGCAGGCATGGGGCGGCCCTCTCTCTGTTTCTCTGGGCGGCGATGGGAGGCGATGCGCGCAAGTTCCGCGGCGCCGGGCGGCTTGTGCTTCTTCTCGGCCCCTCGCCCCGGCGAGCTGTGCGGCTGCGGGGAGGAGGCGCGGAGGTATTTATTTAAGCGGGGCTGCCGGCTCGGCGGGGCCGGGCTC